GTGGGGATAATCCTACGCAAACACTGGGTGTTGGTATGGGGTAGGTACTGGGTACTTCTTATCCCACAGGTATCTCAAGATGCCTTCGGGGGTTGTGCGTCATCCATCCAGGTTGGGGTCCGTGGGCATTCTCATTGGGGGAATTAGTTGGGACTGTGGATTCTTGGGGAACCTTGGGTAGGAAGGCATCATGTGGATTCTTGGGGAGCCTTGGATAGGGGAGGGCGGGATATCGGATCTTAGTGGAAGGGCTGTTCGCTGTCCATAGAGTCTGCGGGATGAGGGACATATGGGGGATGACTGCATATGCATGGACCCAACCTGTGCCCTGCCCTTGTCGCCCTGAACATTACAGTTATGGGAGGGTAGTGTCTGCACGAAGACGTTCGGGTTAGTCCCGTAAAAGTTGGCGCAGATCACGACTTGCGATCTCAGCATTAGCGTAGGTCATGGTACCATGGTGCACATCCTGAGGCCTGACCACGAACCTCTACTACACCCTGGACTTTTAAAAAGAAGGGGGGAAAAAAAACTGAATGGTTTTGACTTCGATGAAATTTCATAGAATACCAGTAAGAAAACATAATACTCAGTTGATATTTTCATTGAATTTAAGCTCGTTTAAAAAAAATTATGAAGTACATATTGATATGTATATATTTCCATCTGGTGTGGGTGAGTGATAGTCTGCTTTGATTTCTGTCACAGGTGGCTTGAGGGCAGTGGTTGGTGCCCACCTCAAGGTATCAGTTGTTGGGCAGTTGTTGATGCTTAACCACAAGCGGGGTTAAGGTGGATTATCACTTAACAGTGTAATCAGTTAGGGGACTCTGCAGACTGTTGAGGGCTCGTAGGCAGAGAGGCAGAAGAGGACAACAAACGAGGGGCTGTGACCAACTGTTTCGTCGGAGTTTCACTGACTCATCAGGAGGCCGATACATATAGATAGATAGATAGATAGATAGATAGATAGATAGATAGATAGATAGATAGACAGATAGATAAAAAAAAAAGAAAAAAGAAAAGATATGTTGATCTGTGGGATGTGTTATTTGCTTTGTGACAATTGGATTATCTTTCTTTCCCTGTCAGGTTTGG